TACCTTAATAAAAGGTCTGTTTTTTCTTATTAACTTTCAAATGGCTCAATATCTCTCACTTTTAATAAGAACTTTGTTTTGTTTTATTAACCTTTAAATGACCCAATATCTCTCACCTGTAATAAGAACTTTGTTTTTTTTTAGTTGCCTTTAAATGGCCAAGATCTCTCACCTTAAGTTTTTGAGAAAAGGGTAAAAGTAAGAAATGGATAAGAAAACCCCCTATCTTTACCTGAGGTGTTAAAGATGGTAAAAACACCAGAATAAAAAAAGTACGGGTTATAGTGAAATTTAAACTATATTTCAACTATGAAATGAATGTAATGAATAACAAACATTTAGCCATGAAACATATTCTCATTATTTATGTATTTTTTGTAAAATGATGAAAATCCATAATGCAATCCCTTATTTTATTGTTAACCTAAAAAACTGGATTTCTAATAAATTTTAAAGATTTTTTGAAATTTTTGTAAGCCGAAGCCAACTGATCCGGCCAATTTTCCGATCCAACCCAATTTTCTAGATAAATGATCCGGATAGCCAATCTTCATTTTTTTTTAGGGAAAGTATACGATGAGACCACGTACCTTTGGGATAAGGTAGTCACATTAATCCTAACCATTAGATGTGAAATTAGGTGATTGCAATTATTCTATTAACTAATGTCAAACTTAAAAAGGCATTTTCTCAAACTTTGTGACACATCCAAATTGTCAACCTTGACATCGGATGGTTATAAATAATTGTGACCACCTTGTATGACCCTAAACTGCTCAGCCTCAGTTCGTACTGCACGACCCTAAACTGCACAGCCTCGATCCATGCTGCATGACCCTAAACTACATGGTCCAACTATATGACCTTAAAACCATAGTGCACTTCCTAGCCGCATGACGATAAAAGGCTCAGCACCATGGTCCGAACTTTATGACCTTAAACCTTAGCAGAGATCTAATTGCACGACCTAAAACTGCATGGTCCTAGTTATACGACTTTAAACTGTATAACCACAGTCCAGCTGTATGACCTTAAAACCATAGTGCACGTCCTGACCGCATGATGATAAACTGCTTCACGCAGGTCCTGGAGGCATGACCATAAGCGCGTCACCACATACACGCACACACCTTTTCGTGCACTTTCACGGACGCCTTCTCTAACCTGGACACGCACCACCTTCATTACCTCCCCAGTGAGTTCATCCCTTTGATCATCTTACACATTCCCCAATGAGTCTCACCCATGCTCACAAAACGGCGAACCATCCTGCCATCCTTACTCGTTGTAAGTTAGTGGGTCACCATCATCCACTCACATTTCATACATTGTTCATCTCTCATAGATAGCCTCGAGCCGTCTCCCCAAGTGAGCCAAACCACTACCATACTCACTTCATGGCCTTCATAGAAGCCATCCATCACCATTACGGTCCAGCTGTATGACCTTAAACCATAGTGCACGTCCAGGCTGCATGACATCAAATTGTTTCGCACAAGTCCCAGAGGCATGACCTTAAACACGCCCTCACAAAATAAAAAATACGCATGGTATATACCTGAAGAATGTTATGAGTAAAAATGATGGATGAGCATGGTCATGAAACCATGAGTAAAAGAGTTTCGTGAATAAAAACTGGGCACGGTGAAAACCTGAAAGGGCATCGTGAGTTAAAATGGACAAAAAGGGTGTACATGGCCTAAAGGTCATAGGAGAAGAAGGGGGGTGGGAGAAAGGAGAAAGAGAGAGAGAGAGAGGGATAGAAGAAGAACAAGAAGAGAAGAGTGTGAAATGAAAAAGAGGTTCCATGTGAACTTTGGATATGTTGACATCATGCTGATATCGTCATGCAAGAAAGGTGCATATGCATTGGAACTTGCATACAATTCGGCAACCTCTGACAATATTCAGTAAAACAACCGTAACCTTTGATCAGCAACTCTAATTGAGGTGATTTTTAAAGCATTGAAAAGCTTCCTGAAATCCCACACAATGGAGCTGGTTTAAGCCATAGTTGCTGGGATCTTCTAACCTAGGTGGCGATCCTGCTCTGAGATCTTGCTCTAGCGCTCCAGGAAAGGAGTCTTCAAAGGGATCTCAATTTTAGATTTTGGGATCTCAATCCCCACCTTGGTGACCAAGATAACGACCAAGTTAAGGATTCTCTATTATAGCCAGCTAGAAATGGAACTATACTTTTAATATAGTTGCATTACTTGCTGGTTATAAATAAAGAGATCCTTAATTTAAATTGTATATATAGTCTTAGACTAGATATCCTCTTTAAAGATTTGGAGGAAGATCTCTAAAAGGTTGGGATAAAAGGTTAAGATCAAGATCCTTAACACTTGGTGACCTCTGTGCATAGGTAACCCAAGGATGGCTTTATGGGACCACATAGACGAGCATATCCATTGGAGGTTGGTTTACTAGTATGGTCGTTTCCTATCTTTTGATGAGCGTATAACGGTTATCAAAGCTACCCTTTTTAACATTCGGATCTTCCAAATGTTGTTGTTCCACATGCCGATCTCGGTCTCCTCGAGACTAGAGAAATTCATGCATAACTTCCTTTGGGGAGGAGAGGCAAACAAGCATAAGTTCCACTTAATAGCATGGGATAAGGTGTGTAAACCCAAATATCTTGGCAAGTGACGAATTGGAATCTAGGAAGTAGTGGTGGAGATTTTCCACCCAAGAAGACCAATTATTTGGTGGGGGAGAGGAAGTAATCAAAGGAAGTAGTGGTGGAGATTTTCCACCCAAGAAGACCAATTCTTTGGTGGAGGAGAGGAAGTAATCACAGGAAAATATACACTAGAGGGCTCAGGCTGGTTCCGAAGATGCCTTTCGTAGGCTTCAAGAGCATGGAAGAGAATAAGCACACATTTGGGGTAGCATTAGGACCACGTGAGATTTAGCCCTAGGATGGGGAACAAGGTCCCTTCTTTGGGAAGATCTACAGCTAGCAGACCAAACAGTGACAAAGAGGAGGCCCGCTCTCACTATTATTAGGGTCACATAATGAAAAGAGGATTCCCTCACAAGGACCCCAACCACAATTGTTTGGATCAGGAGTGGGATAGGGATGGAGAGTGGGGCATCATGAAAAGCTAGAATATCCCTATGGTTAGGAACGTTGTCTGCACAATACATATATTGGGGATCAATTTCCTTTAATGTCAAGCATCTTGATCCTTATCTTTTAGGGATCTCAATCCTTACCTTTTGGGATCTGGATCCCAACCTTTTGGGAACCTTGCTCCTAATCATAAAGATTATAAACGATCTAGGACTATAAGTAGGGATCTCTTCATTTATGGCTAGCAAGCAATGCAAGTATATTAAAAGTATAGTTGCACTCCTAGTAGTCTTGGAAATCAACTCTTTGGTCATTATCATGGTCAGAATTGAAATCCCTAATAATGGGGATCGAGATCCCTAATAAGGGGGATTGAAATTGTGAAATTCAAAAATTGATTTCCTTTGAAGATACGCAGGAGTGAGAGCTCGAGATCCCCAATAAGGGGGATTGAGATTGTGAAATTAAAAATTGATTTCCTTTGAAGATACGCAGGAGCGAGAGCTCTCTAAGCGAAATTGCCACCAAGGTTCAAAGATCCCAGCAACAATGACCCCAACCTTCAGGAGATCCCTCAGAGACCATGAAGTGAAGTGTTTGGCTGAATTGCTCCTTGAATTACAAAACCACTTCCTTTGCATGAATGGGTCTGACAGGAATGTGTGGGCCCCATCAGCTTCTAGTTCCTTTACCATCTCTTCCTTCTTTATTTTCCTCTCATATGAAAACATCAGAACCCATGCTCCTGTTTTTCTTTATTCCTATTCCTTGTCATAGTTCCTTCCCTCTTGTACAGGAACCTCTTTATGGGATGCCATTTTATTACCCCACACACTTGCATTTTCTGTGACAGATTCTGAGATAACACCCTTCTCTTTTCCTTTGTTTCTTCTTCTTGCATAGAGCTCCCGACATGTGGATAGCCTTTTCTGAAAAGATGTACAATTTATATGATAATTAAAAGTCAAATATTTTCTCAAAAGAAAAAAAAATCTAGTAATCTTGATCCCTAACATACGCATTGTATGGACAACGCTCCCAACTATATGGATCTTCTAGCCTTTCATGATCCCCTCCTCCCGATCCCAACAACTATGGTTTACATTCATTTTGATCCTAGAATATTAGTGTAAACACTGCAGGATGTTAAGGTGATTTGTATAGGCTCCTGAAGATAAAGTTTTCAAGCCTAGTGATCACAATGAAAATGGAATATCCATTTTCAAATCCTATACATACTTGTCATCTAGTTGGAGTTTTGGACATCTCGTTACAGTTTACATGACAACTTGTGTAGACAGGATCTTATGCATATGTTGTGTAAGGACAAGTTAAGCCGGTCTATTAGTTTATCATATTTTATATTTCTCTTGACAAACATCCATGCTTATATTTTTACGGTACAAAAAAAAAAAATCCATGCTGATTGGGTTAGGTGCCTTGATTCCTCTTCGGAGCAGAAACGAAAGTGGCCAAAACTTTTAAGAAATGATCAACAGAGCCGCTCAACATCCGGATAGAGGATAGTCTAATTCATAGACTCTTTCCATCCATACCATAGAGGTATCTCCGTGGATAGAGATAAAAATAGGGTCTAGATCTTTTTTATATAGAAAGACATATAAATATCAAGTAGATACTTTTATCGGGACAGCGGGCATGTCCCATCATGTGTCACCATAGCACATTGTTTTATTCTAGTCCCATAAAATAAAACTTGCAAGAAGTAAGAGAAAACTTGCAAAACTATCATGAAAGAAAACTGCTTTGACATTTTTCAGAAAAACGTATGCAATCTAAGCTTATTGATGATATTCATAACTTCATTTTCATACCATAGATAGAAAGGAGCAAATTAAGTGTGCTGTAACTATCCAGCTCTAAAGTGAAGAAAGACAAGAAAGCAGGTCATTCTAACCTCCTTCAGGACCAATAATAGCAAGCCCACTTAAGCTGTGCCTTGATTGAGACAACACATTAACAAGTGGAGTTGCTTCTGCTACAGCCAAAAAGCATGGACTGGATCGAGCTACCTAGATTACAACAAACAATAAAATTATCTAATAATTACCTGATGCTAGAACATTATGTAAACTAAGTAGTTCATGCCACCACATTTGAAAGTTCATATGAACAAGAAACCTTTTCTTTTCAATTATAGGACTAATGCTAGTTTTAGAGAACACATTAGCAAAGACCATGATCTTCTTTGGTTTTCAGGGACATGAACATTGTAACACAGAGGTTGTCTCTTAAATTTTTGGATAGTTTTAGGGCTTTATTACATAGACTACTTCAGATTTTGCTCCAGCTTCAACTTCAAAAGCATTACAGAAATGAGTATTTGAAGATTCTCATCTTCCCAACTCGAATAAATCATTTTCAAGTCTTTCACAAAACTTGCGCTACAAAGAAGCATTCTTTTGTTACCAGTCATAAAAAGTAACATATTGTTTACCAGTATTAGCAACTTAGGAGAAGAACACACTCACTAGAGGCACAAGGTCTTTAATTCTCATTGGAGGATTAAGTTTCATCTCATGCAACCTCTGACCTACATAAAAGATAACAAATGAAACATTCAATCATCAAAAAACCTAATTCATTTCCCAAAACCATCAACAAAACCAGATAACAGGCAAAGATATAATTCTAACTCGTAGGGATTTAACATACATTGCTTAATTGCTGATCTCATGACACGATGCCATCTGTCCAGCCGATTTTCACTAATTGAAGGGGATCTCTCAGTTAGCAGTGGGGTTACGCTACTAGCTCCCAGCTCCTGAAATAATGTTATATAAATATCACAACAGTGACACATTTCCTCATCCCAAGTACTTGAGTATTAATAATCTTCAGAAGTTGTCAGAATGCGTACCGTGCATTTTTCAATAAGCCAATCGGCCCGACCACCTTTCAAAGTACCTGAAATTTTAATTTAAATGTAGCAGTACTTATAAGACTAATGGGTTAAAACAAGAATCAAAACAATCATTGTTGTTTTTTATCATAACATAAAAAACCATTTACTCAAAAAGAAAAAAAAAACATTTTCAAGAATCAGATAATAGAAAACGCACCAAAGCCTGCAACTACATGCCACCGAGTAACTTCCGGAACAACCATCTTGAGATCTTCCAAAGCTAAGAAATCCATGCCTGTGCGATCAATTCTCTGAATACAACCACCAATTATGGCCCCTTTCCCATTGAACAGCTCTATCCTTGGATGTATAAGCCAGGAAAGACCAACATATAGAATGTAAATATGTATAGACAAGCTATCACAATTCTTTGTATTAATAAACAATATACAAATAGAATTAGTCCTTATCAACTCAATAATACATTGCTTAGAATTTTTCCAATAAATTGACTTTTATTGATAATAGAAAACATGCTCAACAGGTACAAGGTAAAATAGAATAACAATGCTGGCCTTGAATTACAGGCACCCAAACCAACACTAGAGATATCTATTCTTGCAAGATTGAATTTAATTATTGGCATTAGAATATGGAGACAAATCATAACTCATCCCATTCTGCCTCACAAAGTTGATACCAAGTGGCTATTGCGCTATCGTAATAATGTAGGTTTAAATTTTCACTACTCGTCATAAACCAGAATAAAATTAAGTAGATTGAGATAGAAACAGTCGGTAGCACGCAAAGCTCAATGCTGAAAGAAATTATATACATAAGTAAGAATGAAGAATATTTATGGAAGGGTGAAATTCAACAGCATGCTGGAAACTTCAGGTGTCACACATTCGCTAAATGTGTGAACTGACAAGCTACAAAAAGAACAGCAGTTCCATTCTGTTCTTCAAAACATCACTTCAAGCAATATGCCTGGTCGCCACTTATTTTCATCATCAATTAGTTGAGTCCCAAATCCAATTAGAGAGCACAACATTCTTTCCGATTTCCAAAGTACAGTTATATTAAGTATATAAAGAGCAGGGCTCAATGGCATGGTATCATTGCAAACACTATATTGTCACCAAACAATCAACTATATAAATACAGGTATTGCTTCGAAACAAAATTAATACCTATCATTCACATTCAAACGTAGAACTTTTGTCATATGCCAAAACTCATCACCCTGCACTCGAACAACATTTCCCTGCATGAAAACACACAAAAAAGCATTAGACATGCAAAACTCAAAACCCTCCTCTCAATTGAACATTTATAGAAAGATCAGAATGATATTGGTAACTTCAAGTTCACATCAGAAAGGATCAGAATGATATTGGTAAATTAGAAGTGAAGATTGCATCAAAAATAAAGTTAAAGTTGCTAATGCCATAACCCATTTCCCACACAACCATCTTTCTTTGCTAGCTTTTCAAGTCTTAAATATGCAGCCTTTCATGGAAATTTAAGGCCTGTAAAGCCAGCAAAGTAACGATTGAATGTTAATTGAAGGAATTGGGTATACATAATTAAAGTGCATCACTGTTTACAATGAGTTGTAGGAGATGAAGTGCTCCGTCATCAATTCTCTATTTCTATCTATAAAAGTACAATTGGGTTGTCTCTTCAAAATTTAAACTGAAGTTTATGAAAACTTTGAAATGGAATAAAATTGCATGTGACCAGCTATAGTTTTAAATTCAAAACCATTAACCGAGTCATTTAACTTTATCGAAACCAACAGACAAAATAAGCATCCCACCATTTTCATACAACAACAAAAGCAATAATATACAACAAAATCCTAGCATCAAAGTCACAAAATGTTTAAAACCATGGTGCAAAAAATGAGTTTGAAATTATATTGGATCACATGTTATAAAAACTCAACTCCAGAATAAGTTAAATGATACCACTGCGCCATCAACCTAATAAATTATGGAAAATTGAATAAAAATACGAGAGTAAAAAAACGAGAACCCCACCATTTTGCAAAATACAAGTTGTACACTACAACAAGCCATAATTTCAAGCTCACACAACCTCCAAACCCTAAACCAGAATAATGAAATTACAATGTTGAAAACCTCATTCCAAAATAGTTGTGTTCACCCTTTTGCAAGCATGCAAAACTTAAGAATCGAGGCAAAAATCTTTAATGCAGAGAGAGAGAGAGAGAGAGAGAGAGAGAGAGAGAGAGAGAGAAATAGCAAAAGAAATAAGATGGGAGAGTGAATACCTTGGAAGAGGGAAGAGCATCAGAGAAGAAACGAGGCAGACCACCTCGAGATTGACTCGCTGATACAGTGGTCGAAAAATGATAAAGTTTTGGTGATTTCCGCTGTGAAAGGACGAAAAGCTTAACTAAGAAACGCTCTGAAACCAGGGTTTTCATTCCTTCAAAGAACAAGAAGAAACAAACTCTGCGACTTGAGCAAACTCCAGAGTCCACATAACAGGTAAGACGTGAGGGTCATGAGGCATGCTGAAGTATCTCTATTTTACATTTTCAGGGACATGTGAAAACACTCCAGCACGAAGAATGATACTTTGCCACCAATTTTTGCATGAATAATTCTATTCACATATCTACTTGTACACAAAATTAAAATTTTCCTAAACGGTTATAATCAAATTTTGGACACTTATGATTTTGTAGATAAAATACCTTTTTATAGAGGTATTTTTTATCATTATGAAGGATGTAAATTTATTTAACGCTCCATGTGGGTGATTTAGCACTCTATACATCTCCCTCAATAACCAAAAATATCTTTATTAAAAAATATAATGTATTACAAAATAAAAGTAAACCTTCAAAATATGTTGAATACAATTATAAAATGGTGTAGTTTTTATAAGGTTTTAACCTTAAACAATGCAATTAAAGCACAACTCCAAATTTTATCATAACGTGTAATTTTGGTATATAAAATTCTTATGATTATCTTAAAATATATGTTTATATCTAATTATGAAATTTTAAACTTTGAAAATGATTACAATCAAGTAGATCTACAAACATATGAAAATCTGGAAAATAGACGGTCTAGAAAATGTATTACAAGATGTACTATTTTTAGGACTCAAAATCTTTTTTTTTCATATTCATACATCTCGATGTCGATGGATTGAAGAAAATGTATAAAATGATATCATTTACTTTTTGATACAAGGAGGTGATAGTGATCATTGACTATTAGATTTGAAATCGGGTGGTTAAGAACATTGTCATTGGTTCGACACAAAGTCCAAAATAAAATTTATTGAATATTGTGACACACTTTATTTCTTTTTATGCTTGACAAATGTTAAAAAATATTATTAAGAATGAAATTACCCAAATGGTATTACATCTTTGGAAATAGAAAAAAAAGATAAAGAAGCACCCTCTTTTAGCAAGTTTATCTACCACATCATTTGCCTCTCTGCACACATGCTGAAAAGTAGTCGACATCCCGAAAGTTAGGTCCATTATTTGCTACCAAATGGTTTTCATCTCCCATGGAACGCTTGGCTCTCTATTACACCATCTAATCGCATTCAAAGAATCACCTTCAATGATGCAAACATTACCCATATTCTTATTGCGTAAAATCTTACGACCATGAAGTATAGCAAACATTTTAGCTTTATTCATAGTTGCAACTCTAATAGGTCCTACAAAGGTAAATACAATTATACGAATCAACAACTCATCTACTTTTGATCAATCCAGAGTCAGAGAAGGAAGAGAGCCCACTCTCTGAGCTGTTGGGTTTATGTGGCCTTTAAAGGCTGAGTGTGTAATGAAAAACATTTATTATTGTGGAACATAAACTCAGTGGGAGTATGGTCCCTCGTGGACCATTCTAAGCAAATGATGTTTGCTGATACCGGACTGTGCTTGACGATCTAGGCCAGTCGATTGAAAAACCCAAGGTTCCTGGGCATAAAGAATAAACCGATAAGGGTTTTGTAATCCTTTATGAAGTCGGAGCTCATGCCTGGATGAGTGAGCCGAGGGACTGTGTGACCCTTGTGTGTGATGGTAGGCCTACAAAGACGGTGGCCAAATCCCCATCCATGTTCCATCACACGGCATACATAGCGACAGACCGTTCGAAAAAGCCAGTTATCCACCTTTGGGTGAAGCATCTGCATATACGAGAGAGATACCCCTATGTACCATAGAGTTGTGATAGCATCAGGTCGTGGTGACATTGACTCTTCTCTAGGGGAAGACCTGTAATCCACAGACTAGGATTGCGACCCCTTGGCTCATCGACCAGACTTTGGTAACATGCTAATGAGCCCTTGATTGGACTGTGGGTCATGGGAAACACTAGGGTCGATTTGATAAAGCAAGCGTGGTTTGTAGTCTACAGTCGAAGGTGGAGTACCCCGTGATCGTTGATAGAATTTCTAAACCATATGGATCCACTTCCCATCATATTAATTTAATTGTGTTCATTTTATTATTAAATTATTTTAGATTTGTTATTTGAATTTTTATAAGTCATTTGATATTTTATTTATTAATTTTTGACTTATAAAAATAAAATTATTAATTTACAAAGTTATAACGTTTTAAAATTAGTTTTGTTCGATTTTAAAATATTTATAAAAAATATACATGGGGGCCCATAGTGCACATGGGCCCACCATGTGGGTATTGGGTGGGCCCCCACGTGCCTCATATGGGTGGCATGCCCCACCCTTGGATGCCTCTTCTTTGATTACTTTGAGAACAAGTTTATTGAATATGACAACTCTATCTTGTAGCATATCGTCAAATATTGATTGGGAAATATTGACCATTTCTTATCTTGATTATTGAAGGAATATCTTGACTTTATATTATTGAGATATTCTTATAGAAAATATGAGATAGAATATGCAATTTTATGGTATACACTATATATTTGATAGATTTAATTTATTTAAATATATTGATGGGAAAATAATTTAAGGAAATGGGGATAATGGTCTATGCACCTTCCATAATGTTGATGGCCCATCTATGGAATGGATGACTCAGATATCTCACCCCACAAGTCACCTTGATCAACAGTCCATATTTAATCTCAAGAAAGAGACAAACTATGGGAAACCCTGACCTAATTTTTCACTATAAATAGGGGAGCTCTCCACTTATCTAGACACACCTCTCTCTCCCATAAACTCTCTCCCTCTCCTCCATTGGGGTCACGCCCCTCTCTCTCCTCTCTAACTTTCTCTCCTAAAACCCTAGGGGGCACGCCCCAACCTTAGAGACTCTCCCTCTCTCTCATGACCTAATATAATTTACGGGTTGGGAAAGTTAGAGTTTGAGCCTAATTATTTTGGAGTTAGGGTTTTGTAGAGATTTAAGGGTGTTTACCTAGTTTGGCCGAAATTAACTTTTTCGGTTCGAGATTGAAGCTAGACCGCTGATCCCGCGCCATTGGATGTGGTGACTCAGTGTGGGGTGTAATAAGCCTAGTTGAGGTAATCTCTAGCATCTTCTCTTTTACTTTCTTGTTCTTTTATTTTATATTCTCAATTATAGTATTGAGTTATAAAAATGGCATCAAGTAGTTGAGTTTTATTTTTATTGTTGTCTTGTTTTATTTTGAATTTTTTTTTTTTTGTAAAAAGACCATCTGTAAGTGATCTTTTTGCCAAAACAAAAAAAAGGGTGATTATTATCATTATATATATAAAAAAAATGTATTCCCCTGGGAAAGATCGCAAAGGTCTTTCTTTCATGAGCTTCATCTCCTTCCATAATCTCACCCTCCACAATCTCTCCTACCTTCATCTTTCTTGTGTGACACTTTCATCTATTGTTTTTCACATCCAATGGCCAGAAATGATTGTAACCTGCTTGTATAAAAAATAAATAGTCTCATAGTATACATCCCTTAGTTAAATGGTTAAATTATTTTGCAAACTTATTAATATCACATCATCTTACAACTTGTTTAAAAAATCATCAAACCAGATTAGGAATCTATCTAAATCTACACGGTTTCTTGTCAGATCCAGGAATTCACCCAGTTTTGTCAAAAATCAGGAGATTCTATGAGGGACCAAGTGATTTGGGTCGGATAGCATAATTGCCCCATACACTACATTTTTTATTAATTTTTCCCTTCTATTTTGAAAAAAAATTATTATAACACTTAAAAGTCTCAGTTATTCTCTGGTAACCCTCCACCTTTTATCCCTATCAACCAACATTTAGAAGTTTATAAAAATTACATTCCCCTTCCAAGAATCCGTCTAAGCTTTTTTATATTTTAATCCTATTTAAGTGCTCAATCTGATTCTCAAACAACACTCACTTCCTTTCTCTCTACTATCTTTATTTATCATCTCTGAAAGCCCTATAACTCGACTTTATATTTTGGAGAATCACAAAACATATAAATCGCTACCAAAGAGTCTAAGAAATAATAAATAGAGGAGAGAGACAAAGGACATGAGTATTACTAAAGAATTAGATTGGAGCACTAAATGAGGATTAAAATAAAAAGTGTTGGAGGGGCGGGGTGGAATGAAATACTTATAAACATATTAATCACTTAATAGGGATAAACATTGAGGAGTCATCATGAAACAAGTGGAATTTATAGGAGCCATAATATTTTTTTTTTAATCTTTTTGGAACTGATTCTTACACAAAAAATGAGCTTGATTCGCCAAACTGGTTTGATTCGCATATTAATCCTTTTTAACATTAGAAGTGATGCCTTTGAATATTTACTTAAGTGCCCTGTAAAATATAATAAAAAATAATCAAATTACCCCTACTTAATATTGGGAACCTCGAACAAGCATGGCACTTTAGTAATAGCCTTGCTTAAGTGGCTCGAGAAAATGACAATTGACAAGTGTTTACAATGATTTCCATGACAACCAAAGGGTACTTTCATTATTTGGTTGTTTATATGTCGCAAACTACAAACAATTTTTGTTTAGCTAGTTCACTCAAATGGGGTTAACTTATTGCCAGGTTCTCAATATTAAATAAGGGCAATTTCATTGTTTAATACTATTTAGGAAAAATTACGTCCAAAATGTTATATTTTACAATTGTTACAGACTATATATATATATATATATATATATTCATATTCATAGGGCAATATGAGATGCAGAACATTGGACCACCAAATTTGTAGGGTGGTTCCATGTTTCAAACTTTAAACCACCCTACACCTCTTAAGGCATCCCTATAACAAGTCATTCGATGTTTCAAACATTGGATCACATGCTTTTCTCAAAAGATGAGAATAAATAGTGGTCTCTAATTGTAAAAGTTAGAGCTTCAAAAATAGTTGTAGGTCAAACAGATCCGTGAACACTTGAAAATCTTGAAAATTGACGATTTAGAAAATGCATTACAAGATCACTGTTTCCAAGACTTGAAGTCCTTTCTGGTTTACATCCATGTATCGCAAGGTCGAGATGATCGGATTTAAGGGTTTTTGGCATCAAAACAGCTGTTCATAGTGAATTTTTTAGGAAACCTCATATAAATTTTTTCCATGAATAAAAGAATAAAATAAAAAGGATTTTTTTGCATTCATATAAAAGGACCTCAAATAGGAGAGAAAATCGTGCTATTCAAGTTTGATCCTCTAGGCATGGAGAGATGGAGGTTCCAAAGAGGTTGAATGGACCTTCAATCGAGGAAAAGGGGAAGAATGAGTTTTAAGATAGAGAGGGAGAAGGAATAAATGTGTGGTATACACCAGAAAGTTCTTTTTCCTTGTACATTGAAAAGGGAATGCTATTGTGAGACCATTTATATTTATTATAAGGATGTCAGAATTGTTCCAAGCCATTAGATGTCAAATTGGATAATTTGCGAGTGTTATAAAATTTGTGAGTTGGTTTTTTTTTGAAATCTAAATCTAGGCAATAATATATTCATAACCACACAATTTAAATTTTGAACTAGACAAGTGATTGTGAAGTGTATCAAATTTAGCTGAAGAGACTCAATGTCCATTAATTAATATGAATATGCAAGCTCGTTTTATATAGACAAATGCAAACGATAAGAATAGAAATAAATCACAGAAACCTATATTGTACCCAGACTTACTATAAAATACAATATATTGTATCTACCTTTTCCATATATACTTATTATAATATATACCTTTTATATTATCCTGATAGACAATTTATACATTCCTTTCACACTCCCCTTCAAACTGGAGTTAGAACACTAAGTTGCAGGAACGAACAGTTGGATTTTCACGTGCATAACGTGACGAGTAGAAACAATGGTTATCATACTTAGATTGCTTGATTAACAAGCATAGAGGAACAATAAAAGGCTCAAGCAATGCCAGATCAACAAACCTCATCAAAAAAAAAAAAAAGGCTCGAATAAAATAGGCTTGAGCAATAAACAAAAATTAGATATTTTCTCAAGAGAGAAAAACAATCAAGACAGCTGAGAAAATATAATGGCACTTGAAAGAGCCAACAAAACTCGATCTAAATCCAAACCAATTCAGTAACTCGTAGACAAATAGACATGATTGAGTAGCAAGAAAACAGATTCGATCATACAGAAAAGAATAGGATCGAGTAAGAGACTCAATTGTACAGGAATGGACACATTAACGATGAATCTTACTCTGATACCATGTGAAGAATCTCATGTTTCTTTAAAAAGACTCAGTGTCCATTATTTAACATGAATATACAAGCTCGCCTTATAGACAAATACAAATGACAAGAATAGAAATAAATCAAAAACACTTATACTATACCAAAACTTACCATAAAATACAACACATTATACCTACCTTTCTCTATATATATAGATTACAATATACACTTCTTGTATTAACCTAGTAGACAATTTATACTTTCCTTTCACAGTGACCTCCTTGTATTTATATAATATATATGGAACCGTACCTCCTTGTATTTATATAATATATATGGAACCGTACATTATTTGGATGCTATGTGGCATGCAAGAAAGACATTCGAAGACTTCGAAAGAGGTTAGGAATCGTAAAATTGAAGGATACTTCAAGTTTGGTGAGAGACTTGGTGAATGAAATTGTGTGGATGACAACGTCGAAATGAAGAGTCCTCATACTATAAAAAGAGCGAAGGGGATAGAGAGAGAGAGAGAGGAGGCATTTAGTCAGCTAGCTCATATATAAATCATCTTCATGACATAATCGAAATTTCATGACTTTTGGTCATGGTGCGCCAAGCTCCTTGAATCATATCGCTCTTATACTCCCTGACTTAAAGGTAACCCTCAACCCTCTCGGTACCTCCCATATATAAATCATTCTAATAACATAATCAGAGTTTTATGACTCTTGGTCTCAGTGCTTCAAGATCCTAGAGTCATATCGGAATTTAAAGCCTTGAAAGGACATAATTCCAATACTCTGATACTATGAAAAAATTTAAAGACAATGATTTGAGTAAACTCACACCACACCCATAAAGAAGGTTGTGGCTTCTATTTATAAAACATATACATACAACATATTCGATAAGAATCATTGATTGACTCAATCAAAGATTATGTTACATCAATTTTTACAGATATGGATAGATGGTACAACATAAACAGATTAGAATAATCAATCAAATATATTGTGAGAATCTATCTAGATTATTTCTAATAAGGTAGACAATCATATAGAATACAATTACAAAAATAGATGATTGACGGTTTGGTGCAGCCCCACTCAAATACAACATCCATCAAAAAATCCATGTAACAATGGATTTCTTATTTAAAATTTCACCAGATGATAATCTCGACCACTATGATCGTGAATCTAGAAGAAGAAAAAGGTTTCTAACCTTAAAAATATACCATTTCAAAAAGAATTAGAACATTCATTTCGATTCTTCGTCAATCATCAAATCTTCATCATTTTCTTCCAATGCAAACTCATAGATGTAGGGTTAAGATGCATCTGAAGTGACTTAAGATGAATTCTTGTTGTAAATTTGTTATTAAGATAAATTTATGGAATGAGATGAATTTTCAGCATGAATATATACGAACAAAAGGCTACATTTCATAAGATGCTTGTTTCCAGTTGGGAAACTTACGTGCGGTTGCCCTAAAGCCAAGTGCTGCTATCTTGCGTTACTGGTGTGGAAGTCTTGTGAGGGCAGCTGAATGCTTGGGCATCGCCTTCTTCCAATCCACACATTTCTATTTGTCCATGCTGTCATGGATTGCAAAGCTTTGTGTGAAGACATGAAATTGTTCACTAGCTTTTGGTGCATCCTCGTTAAAACTTGAAACCATACTCCTCAAGATTTGACTGAGCTGGTGGCCCAACCAGTAAGATGGTCATTGGTATTTTGCTTAGTTCAGTCCAAAGTAAAGTTAGATTTAGTCGAAAACTGGTTAAAACTAATGTTTGACCAGTTTTGATTTGTTGGGCCAGCTAGTTTTAATAGGTTCAATAAGCTAAATGTCGGGGTGGCAACGAGTCAGGTCGGATCTGGCCGAAACTCGGACCAAAAAATATAGTGTGGGACCTGGAACCGACCTAAAAGTTAAAATATCTATGTATTTAACTATATTTAAATGTATTTCATATATTGGGACCCGAAAAATATTACTGGATCCAGATCCGACACTCCGAGTCCAATTTTGGACCCAAATCTGGTCTAGCCCTCTGGTCTCAGGTCAGGTTTAAGTCCATTGCCACCACTAGCTATATGATGCTAGACATAATTTTTTTTTATACATTTTATATTTTGAACGATTATATCTATTTTTTGTTCATTTATCTAACATCTTATAGAACTGATTCAACTAGTAGTTTGACAGGTTTTGACTCAACCAAACCCTTCACCAATTCAATAGCTAGTCCGATCCTCATGACATTAGTTAAAACATGAAACACAATTAATTTTTACAATAAATTTAATTTGGAAGTCCTCGTATAAAATGTCGAGAATTTTTTTACAGTACATTGGTCTACCGTCCGCCATCCTTTTGAGGGCCCCATGGGTTTTTGTTTCTCCTCAAACATGACCGGCATTTTATGAAGAAGCTCATGAACAAAACTTAAGAACAGAAAATGGAAAATGGGTTTTTGAACTCACAAACATAATTCGACTGGCTAGATCGAACCCTAAAAATAGCCCAAAATTAACTTTAGAAGGTTAAACAAATTCCTCCGAAACATTACCCTAACGCTAATTTTCTTTTCAAATTAACTATCCCTGCTCACTGTATTCCTCTCTCTCGCATAAAATTAATTTTTTTGAATTTGTTTCTCAATTATGTCATGATGTTGGAGCACTTGCAATGCACCGGGTTCACCCAGCCCTAAAAATGGAGGATCTGGGCCACAAATGTGGCTCAAACGACCCGGCAACGATGGCCCGAGGGTAGAGCTGGGCTACAGGAAATTCCCGACAATGCACACGTGCTACAAGTTATGGAAATTTCTAAATTTTTATTATCACACATAAAGCAAAAATAATTAAGGATCATCCTCGTCATCCTTGGTTGGTTCCTCGTTTTGAGAAAAAACCAAATCTTCATAATTATATCAAATATTACGATTATCTGGATTTAAAACAAACAAAAAGAAAAATCTATTTTTCAAATTTGTCACCAAAATAGAAAAAAAACCGGTTAATTTCGTTAAGAATCATCTCACTGTTACGTATGCTTATCTTAATCTGTTTTGGATTGAAAAAAGTTTATATAACGGGTTGACCTCATACTGTTCGAGTGAGGTGCACTTAAAAACCCACTGGACAAGGTCGTTTTTATTTTGGGCAAACCCTTAAATATATCATTTTGACATAGAGGTTTATAGAGATGACACAAAAAAAAAAAGATTTTTAGCTTTAAAAATAGTTCATCCAGACCATCTATTTTAAAAAAATTTCCATCTATTTTAAAAAATTTTAAGTGTTTATAGATTTATTTGACCGTCACTATTTTTAAAATTTTAAATTTTATTATTGAGAGCACCAATAGATTTTCATATCATCACAAAAGCTTTGCTGCACGGAAACTGCATTTTTGCCGTAGTTTTGAGGTAGAGATTACTTGAATATTATAAGATTGACACTTTTATACAAACCTCACCCTTTTAGTTATGAGCCGATCGTTTTCCTCGAGTCCAAGTGCAGCCCATCTCCATAATCCAGACTTTGACTTGATGGTCAAACAAGCGGATAATTTCTCTGTTTCGTCCGAAATTCGTTGAAATTTTCAATCCGAAGTTTCTCCGAAATAATAAAAAACTGAAGTCAGTTGCCTGGTTCTAGCCGTCCTTGCAGAGCTCCCCTTTCCTTGCAACTCTCTTTCTCTCTCTAAAAAAGACTTTATTCTCTCTCTTAAAATAGTGAGCCTCCTCAATCCTTAACTTGTTACCAGACGGTTTCTCTCTCTCTCTCTCCACAACTGCTTCAACGTCATCATCTCATAACAACTAGAGCTTTTCAGCCCAACTGCGTAAATCTGGGGTTCTTATGAAACCCTAGAATCATATTTCCCGAGCAATATGACGCTTGTAAGAGACAGGAATTAGGGTTATTCATAGCCCTGTAACAAATTTGATCCCCAATTAAGAGCTAGGGTTTCCACACAGAGAAACCAAGGTTTTCTATTAACGATTTATGCAACTTCCGAAAGGACTGGATGCTAGGGTTTTCATAGACCTTTAATTTCTTTCAGAATAGAGAGGTTAAAACCCCTAAGATCTAGGATTGGGGTTTCATGGACCTGCAATTCTTGAAGAGCTTGTACCTCTCAAAGAGGAGAAGGAACTGGCTTCTCTTCTTAACGGCTTGTGGAGCCTCTGGCTATGGCGCTTACAGGCTCTATAGCTCGCCTTCAATCACTAGAAAAAGGAAGAAGCTTCTGCAACTTTTGAAAACCCTTATCACCATCATTGAAGCTACTTCTGATTCAGCTGAAACCATTGGAGTCGTCTCCAAAGACTTGAAGGAATTTATCCAATCTGATTCGAACGAGGTACCTAATAGTCTCAAGCAAATCTCTAAAATCCTTATATCTGATGAATTCCATGCTTCTGCATCTAGGGTTACTGAAGCCCTAACAATTGGGGTATTGAGGGGCTTCAGTTCTGAGAAAAACGTTGATCAGAGAGAAGAACCATCTGCTTTAGGACACTCTGATCGATTATTAGACAAGCTTTTCACCCCTGCTGGTTCTGGTTTTGCCTCAATTGTCGTGGGAAGCTTTGCTAGAAACATGGTCTCTGGTTTTATGGCTAGTCATGGATCCAACAGTGTCAATTCTACGGTTCAGATGAGTGATCAAAGGCCTGGGTCACCAAACCCTAAATGGGTCACCATTATTTGTAATGATAAGAGCAAGGAACTCATAGCTGATTGTATACAACTTTTTGTTAGCACAGCAGTTGCAGTCTATCTTGATAAAACCATGGATATCAATACCTATGATGAGATTTTTTCTGGTTTGACAAACCCTAGGCATGAAGCCAAGGTGAGGGATATGTTGGTTTCAGTCTGTAATGGAGCTGTAGAAACCCTAGTTAAGACCTCTCATCGAGTTTTAACGAGCCCACCTAACAACAACAGTGAAAACAATGCCTCTAGTTCAAGCAATGGTGAAATAGAAGATAATTTGGATATGGGGTCCTCTGCAAATTGTTTAAGCACAGAGAATTTGCAAAATGATGAAGCTAGGTATTCTCAAAATATTCAGAAACAGGGTTTTGAGGGCCAAAAAATCATGGCGCAATTGGCAATGGATCAAACTGGAAGCAGAGGTTCTTTGAACTCCATTAGTGGGACTCAACAAAATGGATGGATCGATAAGGTTTCGGGTACTTTAGCTGTTCCAAGCAATCGAAAGTTTCTTTTGGATGTAACAGGTAGAGTTACTTTTGAGACTGTAAGATCCTTCCTCGACTTCCTTTTGTGGAAAGTGTCATCCAATTTGAGGACAATGAGTGTGATGAATTCCAATGTTTTAGAGAGAGGTTCAGATATTGTGAGATATGCACGTGCAAAGTCCATAGTGATAGCCACTATCTCAGTTGCGCTCTGCGTCCACGTTTTAGTCAGGACAGGGGCCTGGGTTCAAAGCTGAGCGAGAGAGGTAAGAGTTTCTCTCACTTCCATGGTGTGCTTCATGTTTTGAGAGAGAATTTGGCCTCTTCTGTCATGTACTGCTTGTTTAGAGTGAGAAAGAGTTTCTGGAAATGTATAATTCAGCTAGAAATATAGATGCCATGGCAAATTTCTTATGTTTCATATGATGTTATTCATTGCTTTTCCTGTTTTTTTGTGGTCACATTTGCTTCCACTCAATGTTGGTCTGTTTACTGTATGCCTACAATCCATTGCTTCCATGTTGGTCTGCTTCCTTTTTCCTGTTTTTTGTGGTTCACATTTCTGTCATACAATTCCTGCAACCTGATTTGGAACCTCTGGTTTTTAGTTACAAGTGATCAAGAATCAATATAGCTGGTTGGCCATTTTTAATCCCTTTCTTAAAATTAATGCATTCCTCCAACAAGAACAATGACTAAACATATGTATCAGCTCGAGGAGCATTGAAGTATCAGCTTGAGGAGCATTTAAGGAGAGCAGAAATGATGGATAGAGATGGTTGTTGAACCTTTATTGGGGTCTGTGAGGAGCATTTAAGGAGAGCAGAAATGATGGATAGAGATGGATGTTGAACCTTTATTGGGGTCTGTGAATTCGTTGGGGCCATGCTTACATCAGTTGAGTGAGATTGTGGACAGATGGAAATTCAGATGGGGGAGAAATATTGGGGCTAGTGAGATAGAGAGAGGAAGGGGAAGGGAGTGTTAATATGAGAGAGAGAGAGAGAGAGAGGGAGTTGGGGGAGGGAGGTGGAGAGGGATTGTTTTAAACTTTTAATGCATGGGATTTTTGGGTCAAAGAAATTAGTTGAGTAGACATAAGGGATTTATGTCAATGGGATTTTTGTCCATAATAAGTTAGCCGTTGTGGTTGGGATGGTGTAGGTGGGCTTACATCAATGGGACTTTAGATGAAATCCACCCATTCAAATTGGAAATCGTCGATCCAGATCAGGAATCATCAATCATTGAATTAATTCCGAGTGATTTTTACTAGATGATACGTAATAATTTCTTTTAATATCACAATTTCAAGTCTACTGCCTTGGGCAAATGTTGGCAAATATTAAACTCATCGGGTTCTCTAAACTCGCATTGCCTGTCATAAGTTTTTTTAAGCTTCTCTTTGGATGCAAAAAGTTCAATTTTTAAGTTAAAAAATTTGTAATTTCCATGGATTTGAATGCTAGGCGTTGTTTTGAATTGCTGGAGTGTTCACAGCTATATGCTATTTTAGGCTCATCCCAAGCCATCCAATTCAACATCTAATGAATGAAGAATGAAAATACTTGAAGCCTTCGTGTACAAAAGATAGATGATCTTTTTGTAGATAATCCCTTATATTATATACTGTTAAATTATTTGTTTTCTTGTTTCTTTTTTAAATTTTTTCATATTGTCGATCTGGACAATTTGGATTGCCAAGCCCGACAATCAAAATCGGGAGCAGTATCGATCCACCCCACGGATCCATTTTTTTTAAGACGCTGGTTAAACGCCAAGATATAGAAAGGGTGGAGGGTGCGCTTACTCTACACAGTAATGGAAGGGCCAAATCTCCCTTGAAAACTTGAGCAGAGACTGTTATTGCAATCTGCAATAGAGATTGTGGGTCCATACTTGCTTATGTATGAAAGAAACAAGACGTACAAAGGGCAAATAGTGGATTTAAATTATCATACGGTGGACAAAAAAGGGTTCAAAACTTCAAATTATTGGGAACCAGAGAGAACCAAACGTGTGGCTGAGATTAACTGAAGATGGGAAGAGGGCCTGTACTACCTGTAAGTAAGAGCCCACAAGAGAGAGAGGTTCAATCAAACAAGACGACAAGAGAAGAAAGAGAGGTTCGGATCGACAATATTTTCGATTCAATAGAAAGAGAGATGGTTACAATTTAATAGAGGGAGAAAGAGAGATGGGGTTCAAATTTATTTAGTGACTTATTTTTATTTTTTTGAGAATGTTAACTTTTGTATTGAGATAAGGAAATTCGTACAGAAAAAGCGGGAGCCCATACAAAATTGCGGCCCTACACAAGAACCTCATGGGTTCCAAAAAAATGTGTCCCTCTGAAAGGATAATCAAAAGGTGTATTTCATATACAATATAGCAAACAAGAATGGAAGTGGCTGAGCAAAAAGTCGAGTTCCAGCTGATGAAAGAGTAGTTAAGGAGGGTTCATCTTTTGGCAAGTGCATCAGCTTTGGAGTTGGCTTCCCTTTGAATATGTCTCCATGAGATTTGTGAGGCTGAGCAACAAAAAAAGATCTCATCAAAGAGATATTGCAATCTCCAAGGACAGGGTGCTGCTCCTGAGGCCCACTCAATAATGTTGTGGTTGTCCCCTTCAATGATAAGGGTAGGTATCCAAGCGGGGTTGAAAGCTCTAAGGCCTTCGAGGAGTGCAATGACCTCGACTACTGTGGAATCCGTGACACCAATATGTTTGGATAGATGTACATAGTATTCCCCATTGAATCCCGAAATAAGCCATCTACCCCTAACGGGCCCAGGTTGCCCAAAGAGCAGTTGTCGAAGTTCAATGTGATTTGATCTGGATTGGGAGGCCTCCAAAAGGAGGAGCGGGAGGTTTTGGTGGGACAGTGTGAGATGAGGGTCTGCCAAGTCTGAGGTAGAGGCATGCTTAAAGAGCTTGTTGTTATTAGCCCAGCAAATAATGGAAGCTCTAAGGGAGTCAATGAGGTAGTCTAGTGTTTTGATCTTGCCTTGGAAGATTATGCAATTTCTCTCTTCCCATAAGGTCCACAAGTGGTGAGACACCGCAATCCGCCAGAGGAGCCATTGCAAACCAAAAAGGCGCAAGATATCTGCCCAAAGGGCTTGAGCAAAGGGGTAGTGAAGGAACATATGAGGATTACATTCCTCCTCGTTGAGGCACATAACGCATTTGTTAGGGAGTTGAAAGCCTCTATGTTGTAGTTGGTCCACCGTTAGGACTTTTTTCGAGCACACTATCCATGTGAACCATCTCACTTTGAGTTGAGATGGATCATGTTGAGATAGGCGGGGAGTGGACTATCCGGAAGTTCGTCCAAAACTGGATCATGTTATCGTTTCTGGCTCAGAATCGAAAGAGCAAGGGACCGATTAATGGCTTTCCAAATCCCAGAGGAATTGTTGAGCCCACCCTCTAGGGGGAGCCAAGCGGAGTCGAGGATACGGTATTTTGATAAAAGATCCTATCTCCAAAGGTGGTTGTGGTGAGTGGTGAAGTGCCACCACCATTTACCTAGAAGGGCCAAATTGTAGTGCTTAATACTATAGATGCCCAAGCCGCCAGCCCAAAGAAGTCTGCAGACTTTGTCCCATGAGATAAGGTGGAATTTACAACCTCCTCTCTAGACCAAGGGAATTGTTTTTGTTCTAAACGGCAAGTACCGATGCATGCATAAGAAAAAGGGACATTTGAATACCAGAATATTTGATAGGGTTGCCTTAATTAAAGTCGTGCAGCCCACTGGAGAAAGAAACTTACCCCTCCAGGCAGCAAACACCAATCAAATTTGTCTATCAGATGACTCCAGAGACCATGCTTTGGTTTCCCAATACAGAGGGGGAGGCCTAGGTAGGTGGATGGCAGATGTTCAACTTTGCAACCCGACCCCATCGAGCAACTAGAAGTTCGATAGAATGGTTGCTCAAAGCATTGACCGTCATGGAGGATTTGACCATATTAACTCGGAAACCCATTTTCGAAGCACTTTAAGAAAACCCACAAGGTATCAACCTGCTGAATTGAGGCATCACAGAAGAGGAGGGTGTCATCCGCATATCACAATGAGAGATGACAAGCCCATGGGCCCTAAGTAAAGCTAGCAAGAAGGCCAACATTATAGAGGCCCGAAATGGAACAGCTAAAGACCTCAGCCACAATAGCAAGCAAGAAGGTGGAGAGGGGGTCTTCCTGTCTCAGCCCTCGAGACGAGCTGAAGAAGCCTTTGGGGGAACCATTGAGGAGGATAGAGAAGGACGTGGATGATACACCCCCTTGATCCAGTTATGCCACCGGGGGCCAAAGCCCAATCTATCCTAGGTATGGTCAAGAATAGACCAATCTACATGGTCATACGCCTTTTGCCAATCTAGCTTTATAATCAACCCTGGGAGTTTACCCTAGTGTTGTGAGTGGAGACACTCATGACCAACGAAGGCTCCATCGAGGATTTATAGGTCCTTAACAAAGGCACCTTGGGTGGAGGAGATGACTCAGTGTAAGACCTCTTTGAGCATGGTGGCTAGAACTTTAGATAGTGGCTTCTAGGAAGATATCACCAGGCTTATTGGCCTAAAGTCTCGTAGCTCTTCAGCACCTTCGAGTTTGGGGATTAAGGCAATGAATGTGGCATTCATGGCCTCGTGGACGACACCCCTAGAGTGGGATTCATTGAAGAAGGAGAGAATATCGGTCTTTAGTGAATCTCAGAAGGAATGAAAAAGGCCACCGAAAATCCATCCGGGCTGGGGGCACGATCGTGGCCTAGGTCTTGGACTGCTTTGAGGATCTCATCCTTAGTAAAGGGCCGCTCGAGCCAATTGGCTTGTGCTGAAGGGATAGACCGAAAGGAGAAGTCATGGAAGGACGAGGGCCGATCTGGTGAGAGAACAGTGCATAAAGAAATCAATGTGGTCCCCTCTACAAGGGGGGGCTAGTCGATGATGAGGTTGTTTATTTTGATATGAATGATGGTGTTGTCCCTTCTTCGATAGTTAGCGATCTTGTGGAAGAAGGCAGTATGCAAATTGTTGTCTTAGCCACTTAACCCTAGATCGTTGGTACCAGAAGATCTTTGCGAAGGACTTCCTGAAATGAGGTATTGCAATTTGCCTTGCCCCACAACTCGGTAGCGTCCCAATGGGCTATTTCATTGAGGGATGCTTTAGGTTCATTGAAGTTTCTAGGAAGTTGCCTAGCCTAGGTTTTGGGCGATGTCTTGAGGAGCTGAAGCTTACATTGCAGGAGGAAACCGGCAGAATGACCATCCCAGTTTAGTGAGGACTGGTAGAGCTAGGGCGTTGGTACCGGAAAATGGATATCCCAATTGAGTGAGATTAGGTATCGGTCTAGTTTAGAGGGGGAAGGGTTGAGGGGGTGGTTTGACCAAGTGAAGGTTACCCCATGAAGAGTAATGTCTAGCAAGTTGTTTCTAGAGTAATAAACTCAGAGAAAAACACCATGGCGGGGGAGGTGTGGTTGGTATTGTGCTCAAATGACCACCTGGTCACATTGAAATCCCCTACTAGGCACCAAAGAGGGTGCGGGAGGGAGGAGGCTAGGTCCTCCTACCATAAGAGGTCGTGAAGGGAATCCGCATTTGGTGGTAATCAACCGTGAATTTCCAATTGAGGCCGTTGGACACTGTAGAGAAGAGGGTAGAGAAGAGGGTTATTACCGAGAAGCCTTGATGCTCAAGGAGAAAGCATGGAGGGTTGGGTTCCAAACCACCCAAATACCTCCCAAGGCGCCCACTGGTAAGGCAAGCCAGCTGCACGGTCTTGACCCCCAAATTTGGCGTATATGGGGAAGAAAGGGTTTAGGTAACTTAGTCTCTACCAACGCTAGAACCGCTGGGAGAAAGGATCAACATAAGTTGTGGGTGGACCTATGTTTGAAGGGATCGCTATAGCCCCTCACAATCCATGTGAGGAGCTTCATGAATCGGGGGGCAAGGTGCGAGCCCTCCTAGAAGGGCATCTCAGACTAGGGCTGGAGGACATAGAGTTGAGATCCTGGTGAGCTCCCTCCGACCTTTGCGAGTGGTAGGGGCTACACTGAACACAAAAGTCTGTCAGGGCTTTCTTCGGGCCTTATACCTGAAGCCCATAATGTCCATCACCTTGTCGAGATTACCTTGTGCCAGGTCCATATCTTCTACGAATTGGGAGTCCATTGAAAGGGGGGACACCAAAGGGGATCTCTCGGCCAAAGGGGGAAACTCCTCTGAAAGCAGGGATGGCGATACATGAGGATAGGCATCCAGGTTGGCCGCGGCAGAGTCCATGATTGCTGGGGAGGTGCTCTCGCTGGTATTTGTTCTCTATTGATAAGAAAGAAATAAGATATGTACGTTTTTAGATCTTATTTTCAGACTTGTACAGGACATTTTTTCAAACAACATTTTTTCTCTACTGATAAGAAAAAAAATCACATATGTATGCTTTCTTGGCAAATTTGCTCTAAAAGATACAAATAAACAGAAGATTGAAATACACTTATCCAAATGCACAGGAACAACAAAGAGAGGTGTTGAAAAGCAAGTGAGAGTATGTGTACTGCTTGAGTGAGTTATTCGAGATGTATATCCACAGAGAGCGTACGCGCCATTTCACAAGTTGGAATGTGGCTGCTATTGCAACTGATTATTGAAGAATCACGACTCTTACTGTTAACAGATATAAAACAGTTAATTATTTATAAGTTATAACTATTAATGAAGTTTAATTCCAACATCCCCAACAGTTCATTTTCAAAGTATTGGGTTCAAAAAGTGAACCGTTCATTTGAAATAGTACCACGATGTTAAAAAAGCACCTCAACTGTGGCCAAACTTGTGCTCAACCTAAGGTCCATCTATGACCAAGTGCACTTTGCGGTCTAACAACCTTATTGGAGCGTCCAAACAGCGTGTACTGCCTTTCTGCGGTGAAAACAGAGTAACACGTGCAACCAAACAATGGCGTATTATTTCTGTGTCAAAACTGCATTAGTGGCATTGGCAAACAATGCATCATGTTTTGCTATGGGATCTATTTTCACGAAAAATAATTTGTTTTGATAGGCTAGCCTTATCAAAAAACAATGTTAGAGCCTCACCTCAAAAATTATACTTTTGGGATTGAGAAACTTTCAAATCGATCATTTCGGCCTTGACCATATGATTATGGAAAAGAATTAAGATTTCAAGCTCTAAAATAGTGTATATTGTAATACTTCATTTAAAAAAAGTTTTTACAAATCAACAAGATTTGTAGCATTCTTTGAGATTTAAATTTCATAGCTGGTGAAATTAATTTTAGAACCATCATGAAAATTTTCAATACCCAAAGTGCTTCTCCGGTGGGATTGAGGCTTTAATCATAAAAGCCTTGTGTTTTAACGTGGTTGGCTACATTTAAAATGAATGTGAACCGCAAACTCGACCTGTGCAAGAGTGCTCGATGTGAAATGCGGCATAATCGCTCTTGCGTTTTGTGCATGCATTTGCACACTTCACTGGCCTTCTTTTAGAACACTGGTAGTAAATGTTTGTTTTAGTGTTTCAAAACCCAGGAATTTCCAATCAAGGTTGTCAATTCTGATGTAGAATCGATCAAGACCGAACTAGTTAGTATGGGTCTCGAATCGGTTCCCCCCTTTAAAATCACTTCGCATTTTCTTAAACTTATCTAATGTTGTTTGTGGTCCCCTAAATCCCCACCCTATAAACCTGTATTTTAATTTTAATTTTATTTCATTTACTATTAAATTTTTTTAGCATCACCAATCCAGACAAAATTCGAGAACAATGCGGATCGCCAATCCAGCCAATTCAGATAGGGATCAAAGGCGGAAGATTCGCCCCACCGATCCAATTTTTTAAACACCGTTTTGCTCTATAAACACAAGGATAAAACATGTTATTTTGTCTATATACTTGTCATACTTCCTCATATTCTTCATTTGCTAAAACCGGAACAAAAGAAGATAAAATATTAAAACAGGTTGAGACCCCTTGTAATATCACTAAAGGGGTTAAAAAATAACAACTTGCACTTAAGGATGTGCTTTTAATTTGATATATGTAATATCACTAAAGGGGTTAAAAAATAACAACTTGCACTTAAGGGTGTGCTTTTAATTTTCTATATCAAATAGATACTTCCTCAAAATAAACTTCAAAAAATTCCCAAATTTCCATGATATTAAAAAAAAGCTAAACAGTAAAAAGCATTTCAATAATTTTACCCCAATGAGGGTTGATTATTTCATTAGAATTAGATATCTCGAAAAAAATTATTGTTCAACAGCCGGGGACATTCTTCCGAGAGAGAGAGAGAAAAAAAAAAAGAAGAAAAAAAAAAGGGAGACAAATGCTAGAGAAGAAAACCGGGAATCAGAGCCCTGGTTTCCCTCTTGGATGGGATGCAGCCTCAGCAAAACCAGACCCATAGACTCGGGCCAAAAGCAGATCCTTATTTTAGATAAAACATGGGAAGCGCATCAAGGTGAACAAGGTCATAACTCAGGACACTCATCTCAATGCAAGTATCATAATCTCAGGCACAGAATTTAAGTTCAATACCATAAAGAGAGCTGGTCCCTTACTTGCCAGGGGTTACTCTGCAGCAGCTTCAGAGTCTGAAAGCTCTCCCTCTCTCCTACTTGTCAGTAGTAACTCTAGTGGCAGCTTCTTTGTATCATCTCTCTCTCTCTCTCTCTCTCTGAGCAAAGTCCTTTTGCATTAAGTCGATCCTGCAGATTTCTCCTTCTCAGCTTCTTCCCGAAGCTTCTTCCCCCAGTACTCATCTAGTGGTGGTCCAAAAATGACCTTTCCAGAAATCACTCCAATCCTACATGCATCAAGTTATCAAGCCATTTAGAACCTTAGAGACATTCAAATACAATTACTATAAACAAAATACTTCAAATATAATAATATGAACAAAAAAATTGAGTTGCCAAAACATACTCAAAATCTTTAGAAGTGAATAACTTAAATAACATAATCAAAATCTTTAGATTTGCATAACCTAAATGATAATAATAATAACAAATAATAAAGAAGAATCACAAAAGACGGCCTGGGACAGTTAGGAGGTTTCCATAATATCAAAGGTGAGAGAACATGCAACAAGACTTTTATTAGTTCTAATGTTCATGTAGCCGATTCTAAATAGTTGGGATAAGGCTCGGATGATAATAATGATGATGCATGTTCATATCTATTTAACAAGAATTTCAAAGATAAGAATAAAAAGTAACAACTTTTCGGTAATGGAAAAGTATAAATTTTAGAAGTCAGGCACGAGTATTTGGAAAAAAGAGAATCGAAAGAGATAATTAGTGTTCCAAGCGGTCATACTCTCATAACTTCTATGTGAGTTATAACCTCAACATATGGGTTCTCGCCTGACATAGAAGTTCATGCTAAAGAAAAAGAAAATCGAAAAAATAAACATATTCTTTAAATTTTTTAATGAACTTTACCCATGTATAATTATGAACCTGAATTATACCTCAAAAGAGAGATTCTTGAAGAAACTGAATAAGAGAAAATGCAGCCACATGCCCCAGATATGCCAAGGACATGCTATCTTAACTTTCAGAAAAGTAGAAATAGTTAAATCATGCTTTCTAGTAGCGATTTCTTATCTTTCTCCAAATTCCCAAAAAATATCTAATCATTTGTCCCCTAAATATCAGCCATAAAAAACACATTCTTTTAATTTACTGTTCATTATTAATATAATCAACAAAAATAAATAAATACGGGTAAGGTTTGCATAAGATTGGCACCTTAAACAATCAAAGGCACACCTCCAAATGATGCCAAAAGATAATATTTCAGTTCCGAAAATTGTTGTGCGGGATTGGCCTAAGTCACCGTTATTTATAGCGGCTTATTGTTTGAGATATCAGGCTGCCCTTATGATTTTTCTTTTTCTTTTTTTTTTGTGTTGAGAGCGAAGATCAGGTTAGAGCTTAAAAGCCTCAAGTCAAACCTCATCTTCCTCCCCCAAAAAAAGGGGATTTAAACGCCCTCATCATCCCCTCCCAAAATGAGGATTTTGGTGTGAGAGAGGATTTTGGGGATCAAAGATAAGGTTCAAATTATGATTCTTAATTTGATCTTCCCACTCAATGCACGCAAAAACACACACACAAAAGGACCTAAAGGCAGTCCGATATCTCAAACATCAAACCACTTTTTTTTTTCTTTTTTTTTTTTAAAAAAAACAACATCGGCCACTCTAATGTTGCAACCATCGACCACATCCAAACGAAATAAAAGAAAAGGGATCGGTCCAGGTTTGAATCATCAGACTACCCTGAAGTTGGGCAATCCGATGTTTCAAACATCGGATGACCTAGAACTGACCTCTGGCCTTTAGGACAGCCCTAGAGTTCAAGAAAAAAAATTAAAAAAAAGAAAAAGTTCATATAAGGTTGCAACTTTATGCTGTAGAAAAAAGGCATGCCTAAAAAACCCATCGAAAAAAGGTTGTTCCAGTGCTGCAAAAACCCTCTAATTGATCATTTAAGTCCAAAAAGAGTACAACTTGTAATACATTATCTACATGGTCCATTATCAAGATTTTCATTTGTTTGTAGATCTACTCGATATGTACCCTTTTTTGAGTTTTAAATTTCATAATTAGATGTGAAGTAGATTTTTAAGGTCATAATTGTAACTTTTAATAACAAAATTAAATCTTTCGAGATTTGGAGGTGCGCCTTACTTGGATTGTTTACAATTGACACCTTATACAAACCACACCCATAAAAAATATAAAAAACAAAAAAACCAGGAGGTCAAAGAAAAAAAAAATTTAGTTATCACCCAAACAAGTCCTAGGTGTATTTTGATATATTTCCCCAAGAAATTTTGATATATTTCCCCTAGCTTATCCTGGGATCACTATTCAGCCAATAGGTGGACGATGACACCACAACGCCCCACACCAAATGACAAAAACATATTGTTTATTTGAAAAAGTTTGTACTACCATTTTAAATCGAATTAAGCCAGCTCCGCCGGTTTGAATACAACTACTGCCAATTCTATGAGGTCTTTAATCTAAAAATAAATTATTAAAACAATAGTGGAAACTTGGTGAACTTGAGGAGCCCTTAGATCTGAACTGCTCACCCACTAACTCCCAGCAAACTTACCAATTTTTAAAGGAAAAGTATACAAAGAGGCCATTTTGTTTTTCATACAAGAGATCACAAGCACTCTTGTCTGTCAGATTTCAAATTAGGTAGTTGTGTATGTCATTGACTACACTCAATGCTAAAAAGAAAAAAATTCTCCAACTTTCTCATACACCCCAAGCTTACCAATTTGACATCTAATAGCTAACAGCAATTGTGACCTTGTAACAAAAGTACATAGTCGCATCGTGTACAATCCTATTTTTTAAATATTGATTTATGAGTTGTAAATGTTGTGCTAGCATTTGAGTCCTAAAAAAGCCACTAGCAACTTAGAAGTAGGGTTGGGGTGTCGAAGGTTAGGGAGCGGATGCCTTAACATAACATCCCGGTCTAAATTCCCACTGTTAACATATAAAAAAAAAAGAAGCCATTAGCAACTCCCCAGCAGTCCAGTTTCACCAAAAGATAGGTGGTTGTTGTTCCTCAACCCAAAGTCTGTATGAGACATTGCTCAAGATCGTATGTTGGAATACAGTTGCATATGTGAAATATGTAAGACGAAACATAAACAACATAATTATCTCAAAAATTGAAAAATAATTAATATTTGTTAAATATATAGTATCGCAAGACCTTTAAAATAGTTTACATATAGTGAAATCTAGTGTTTTTAGAAAGCTTTTTTCTCCACCATCTATTTCGGCTTTTTAGTTGAGGTACCATTTTATAACGTCCATCGTATAGATGGGCGTTCAATGCTTAAGGGGACGCACAACAATAGGTGAGTGAGATGACTCACCATAACAATCATAATCATCATCATCATCATCATCATCATCATCATCATCATCATAACCTTTTACCAACTATTTGGGGTCGGCTATATGAATCATGGTCCGTCATTGTTCTCTATCAAGCGCATAAGCAGATAGTAGATTCAGGATTCATAAAAAGTTTTAGTCAAGTTTTACGTTAGGTGAGTGAGATGACTCACCATAACAATCATAATCATCATCATCATCATCATCATCATCATCATCATCATCATCATCATCATCATCATAGCCTTTTACCAACTATTTGGGGTCGGCTATATGAATCATGGTCCGTCATTCTTCTCTATCAAGCGCATAAGCAGATAGTAGATTCAGGATTTATAAAAAGTTTTAGTCAAGTTTTACGTTGGCTGCCTACTTAACACAAGCCACCTCCTTTACTCGGGCTTGGGATGGATTAGGGGAAAGTTTAAGATCCTCACCCTTCTTAGACCACATTATTTCCATACACTTACAAATAATATAATATAAAATAAATAAATAAATAAATAGTCAAATTCAGTATACACTTTTAAAAGGTAAACAAGAAATTTTGTGTCAAAATTATAATGTACCAAAACATTAATAATTAAAAATCAAGGAAAATATTTTAGGGAATAGTTGAAGTGAAATACAATAAAACCACGAAATGACTCAAAGGGCATTAAGAAATCCAAGAAAATATTTTTTTATTATAAATTATAGGTTTTAAATTAAGCTAAAGAAAAACAACCAAATATATGGGATAATTCCATCATAGCAAACTCTGGACTAATAAATAATAGGGAAATTATAAAAAATGTACCTTAACTTTTGGCTTACCGGAAATAAATCCCATACTTCTCTTTAACTCACCATAACCATGTCCCATTAAAAAACGAAGTCAAAAGCTAACTAAAAACCACAAAGAACATGTGAGAATTCAAATGTCCTGTATCCCATAATGAGATATCAAGATGTTCCATTAAAATTATTAGACAAGGTTAGGTTCAATGTCAACAGTTGGTGTATGCACACCTTTTAAGCATCCACATGTTATGGACACTATATCATCTCATCATATTATGGTATTCCTTTTTTCTAGTCGAGGGAACATGATTATTTATAGATATTGTAAAAAATGTATTAAACATCTTGTGTACTCATTAATTATTAATAAGGATACTTAAAATTATCTACACTACAGTTATGGGTATAGTAAATCATTTTGGATTTAATTATTGTGTAAAACATGTTGTATGGACTTAATAAATTAATATATATCTATTTTAAATATAGGTAGTATGACTGCACCATGCTTTTTATGCCTCAAAGGATAATAAATATAATATGAGTTAATATTGTTCATAAATATTAAGTGAGTCATTTTACTTACAAACTAGTATAGATAGTATGCTTGTATCATGCTTTTCATGCCTCAAAGAATAATAACAAATAGTATGAATTAATATGGTTCCTAATTGAATGAGTGATTTTATTTATAAACTATAAATATCGATAGTTTTATAGTTTAAATAGCTAAATGACAATGTATTTTAAAGTACTATAAAAAATTTATCATTGAGATATTGGAGGAGACTAATATGAAGAAAATACAGCACACATTTCACTCATCGTAAGCAACTCCTTTGTATCAATGTAAACCCTAATCCCCAAAAAAAAATTATGAATTTATTTAATCTATTTTTTTTCAAAACATGAATAAATATATCCATAAAAATGCATTCATCAGCCAAATATCTATCTAAACCCTAATCCCTCTAAAAAATTATGAACCCTAAAAAAATTATGAATTTCTTTAATCTAATTTTTTTTCCAAAAGGTTCCATAATCAAAATAACTTCAATAAATACATCTATAAAATGCAATATAATGAC